TCTCTCTCTCTCTCTCTCTCTCTCTCTCTCTCTCTCTCTCTCTCTCTCTCTCTCTCTCTCTCTCTCTCTCTCTCTCTCTCCCCCCCCTCTCTGTCTGTCTGTCTGTCTCTGTGTCTCTCTCTCGTTCCATTCGCACTTGCGAGAGAAACCAGTTGCGATTTTTCACGCGGTGGGAACTAGAAGCCGCTCCCTACTATAAATAGCCTTCGAGTTTCGCACTGGGGCCGACGATGTCGGGCCTCCGACACGGTGACGGCGACGGCGACGGCGATAGCGGTGGCGGTGGCGGCGACGATGGTGGTAGCGGCGCGGCCAATGTCTGGGCCGGTATCGCTACCGAGTGCCGTGCCCCGCCGGGCATTTCTGTCGCGTGCGAATAATCGGCCGCCTATGTTCCAGCCCGAAGCCTCGCTCCTTTCTACCCGCGATAAATTGATATCCGTGGAAAAAAAGAGGGTGCACCGGGAGGGCTCGTCGGCGCGTTAATGCGTACTCGGGTACACGCGTTCGTGTCCGAGGTAGGAGCGCAACGGAGGGAGCGAGGAGGATAAGAGAGGGGAGCCCCCGGGCGGGCCGCGACCTGCATCGGAATTTTTATTCGGCATACGGAGGAGGAGAGCTCCCTCCCCTGCTCCCGAGACCGAGATCTTCCCCAAGCGCGAGATGCCCGAGGTACGGAGGCGACGACCAAATTTGGAGCGCGCGAGATTAGAGTGGCTTAATTAATCGAGTCGCGCGTCTCGCGCCGCCGATCCGTGAACGCGTCCTTCGTGAATTTCGCAACGCGCGAACCGGAGGCGCTGCAGCGGAATGGCATGCGGCACGGTATCCCGCCCGTATCTCCTTTCGCGGGAGAATTCACGCTCGTTGAAAGATATTTCAATAAACGCGCGTCACGCGACTCGAGACGCGAGATCCGCGAGGGGGGCTCGAATATATGTATAGCACAATCAGGATTGCTTTGTGCATCTACCAAGTCCTCGCGATAACGTAATCTTATCGAAGAAAAAAACCTAGTATCTCTATTGCTCAAACAAGTCGCTGTCTCTCATATATTTCGCCTAGGTTTACAATATATCGTTCGATCGTATCTCACTCGCGCGATCTGTGAATTATCGCGCGCGAAAAACCTGCCGATCGTAAAGCGGCGACGTCGACGACCGGCGCAGATCTCGTGGCGCGCAAGCTCGAAACGTGAAAACGCGAAATTTCTAGATGCTCGACAACTTTTCTATCCTGCGGCCAATCAACGCGCTTGAAAACTGTCGCACGACAAATGTAATATTGCCTGATGTCCAATTTACAATGTGCCCTTTACGTCTCGAAACATTCCATCTTGTATAAGCAAGTCAGAACGCATAAAAAAATTTTGGACAACGTACGATTGTGCACTGTACAGTGATGGACCGAATGGTTGCGACACTTTATTTAATGAGTTTAGGAACGCGCGTTTACATTCAGGTTTGCGTTTTCTCTCTGAGGAAAATTTTACCTCAGAAATAGATTGAAAACGCTCGAAATAGTTTCGGAATGGCCATCGAGTAAAATATTCCCCGGAGAAGAAGATTTTGTAACGCAACCCTGAATCTAAATGCATGTTCCTAAGTTCACTAAAAAAAGTGTCGCAACTATTCTGTCCACGACGCAAGGATGCCAGGTGTAACATTCTCGTGGACGCGCGCTCGTGACCAATCAGAAATTTGCCCCAAACCTTGAAGCTGCAAATCATTGCGGTTGAATGCAGGAAGAGCCAATGAGCACTGCCCCAAAAATTGGATACATACGCAACATTTATATCACACCTTATGTTTTTACATGATTTTGTCCATCGCTACCATTTGTTAACTTGCAAAAAAAAATTTTAATGCATTTATTGGCTACCGAATAGAACGTTTCTAAGTGCAAAGAGCACATTGTAGATGAGCTCGGGCTTAATACCAGCCCAAGTCACCGGCCTTATCTCTCACATCGTCCAAAATAGGCCCGTCCCGCCTAGCGGCGCGGCGCGTTCACGTGCGCGCGCGCGGCGTGAGTGATTAATCCTCCGTCTTCGCGGAGGACACGGTCGAAAACACGGAAGAATAGCCCGAGTACAGACAGCATTAATTCCGGTGATCGGCCCGCGCGGCTCATTAGCCGCGCGCGCGCGACGAAAACAGACGGGCGCGGGAACGGGCTTATAAGGAGTAAGTACGCCGCGACGGGCGTTACATAGCGTGCGACACGGCGGCACGCGCGACAGACCAGACCGGAGATCAGTTTTCGCGCGGACCTTCCGATTCTCTCGTGAGGGGGACATCGTACGATTTCGAGTGAGTGTGATTGACCTGAGAGAGAGAAAGAGAGCGCGCCGCCCGGTCTCGTTCTCCTCCTCCTTTTTTATTTCGCATCAGTTTGTTTTTTTCGCCCCGGTGGAGACTCGCTGCCGCCGGCAACGACGCGGAGGGGAATGCGTCGGGCCACGTCCGATTTTGACAAATCGAGATCCGCCTCCGTCCAGAGGGAGAAGCGAGACGGAACGAGAGAGGAAGAAATAAAAAGGAAGCAAGAGGCGTATCGTTCTGGAGTATCCGAGGCGCACCGAGTGCACCAAACCGAATCTAGCCGCCGCACCGCGCTGAAACGCGGACCGGGGGAGTCCCTCGGGCGAGCCCGGCGAGCCGAATCGCAATCGAGTCGTGTCGCGTCGAGTCGGGTCGAGTCGGGTCGAGCCGAGCCTAGCCGAGCCGAGCCGAGCTGAGCCGAGCCGAGCCGAGTCTCGCCGCGGCAAGCCACGCCGGACTGACCGGACCATGCCGCGCCGGCTTGAAGCATGTGGCCAGTTTCCGTCCGTCCTTGATACGTGTGGGGTAGCGCTCCGTCGACCAAGTGCGGACCTTCTGCGTGCTTGCCGCGCGAACACGCGCCTTGCCCGTTTTGCATTTCGCGAGAAAAGTTATCCCGCTCGCAAACGAGTCGCCGATTGTTCGGATCGGTATGGTGCCGTAGAATTAGTAATAAACGTGCGAATATCGTGAATTATGCATGTATGTGCGATATACGGGCGACACTTGGCGCGCTTGACTCGTGCGATATCGCGACTTAGCATTTGGTCGAAAGAGACGCGGGGCTCGAAATATTGCGCTCGACTGTTGCCGCGCCGTTAGACTAGTGTTACATTTGTCGTACGATTTCAAGCGTGTCGATTGGCTGCGGAATAGGAGATTTTTGGAGACTCGACAACTTTTTTTATTCTACAGCTAATCGACACGCTACAAAATTTGCCGTACGACAAATATAATATTACTCTGGGGAAAAAAAATCAGTTACAACCCATTTCGAGGCCCACAATTAGTAATCGAATTATTTAGATTGTTCGCAACTCAAACCTTTTGCGAATTTTATCACGCGTAACTAAAAATCACAATTAGCTGTTCTATCTATATCCAGGATATTAAAGTAATACTAATCAGTTCTCTCAATTAGTTCTGTCGATATTCAGTAACGCAAAGATAATTTTCACTTAAGTGGCAATAACCGAAATGTTAAGTTGCTTAACTACATCAAAAAACGGTCAAAATTTTTCCCAGAGTAAGCTTTAGGCTGGTGTTACTGCACGTTCGAAGAGCTTGGAATATTAAATCCGACGTATTCGAGCTTCAGGAAAGGGAGAATCTAATATCGAGAATTAGCAGACATACTTATCGATGATATTTGTTACTTGTGTGATAATAATTTATGACGAAATTATTATACTAATTATGATACTGATTTTTTTTCTATCTGTGCTGCGGAATCATACGTTTATAAACCTAGGAGAGAAATGCGATTCGTGCGTGTCGTAGAAAAGTACTTTTGCGGAGGAGTTTGTGGCGCGAGTAATTCGACAAGCGGATCTGAAAAAGGGAAGAAAAATTGAAGGTGTAATAAGCGCGATCGATCGCGGCCAATAATTGATCCGTTTGCCGTCTTCTTCTCTCGAGTCCTTATTCAAAGACAATTGTATCAATTGCATCAATGACGATCCGCGCGAATCGTTTAATTAGTTTGAACGGCTCCCGGGCGCGTTAAAAGCGCTACGCACCGTAGGCGTTCGGTCGGGCTCGGTGTTGAACCGCGCGACTTGTCAAACCTCCTCTCCCTTTCTCTCTCTATCTCTAACTCTTTTGCATATCGTTACGCAATTTGCGCGCGATGCGTGAACAATGTTATGAACAACATTATGTCCGCGCAACCGCTCTCGTGCACGAGCACGGCAAATTAGTAGTATTTCATGACGGATGACTTATTACAGAAAATTACGACGAGTCCGAAAGATCAATCGCGGGGCAATTGAAAACGTGACCTCGGGGAGCTATAACATTATTTATTTATTTATTCGCGATAAACCTTGCCTTTCGGCTCAAGGCGGTTTCCAATCTGCGATTTCACCGTTGTCTTTTACAGTATTTTCCAAACTTTTAACGTAAACGCCGACACAACTGATTATGCAAATCTTTGAAATTTATGAAATATCTTTATGTCTTTAAAAGGTATATCAAGATTTTTTAAATCTTTCAAACATGTAATTGTAAGTTTTTAAACTGTAAAATATTAAAGTCGAAATAAAATTACGAAATGCAAAAGAAAAGATAGAAACGGATAATATAAAACCTGTGAAACTTAATCACTGGTCCAAATCCAGTTTTAAATTCCAACTTCGAATTTGCGATTCTTAAACCTCAATCTTTAAATCTAATTAAATTAACTTTTACTTCTGTTACGCAAAAAAAATTACACATGCGCCTTAATTACGCTTATCGCGTCTTTATAAAACATAAAATGGTCTAACTAAGATAATACATAAATAGAAGGAAATCCCCTATTATGAGACAGTCGGAGTTTCTGCTAAATTAATCGGCATCATCTACTGGTTCCACCATGAATGAATTGAAAAGAGATTTGCGATTGAATTTAAACGTTGAAAGCCTTATACTGTCTAACATTAGAATCCTATCTCATAACAGAGGACCTTCCTCTAATTCAATATAAAGACTCAAGGAAAACGAAAAGTCGAGACGACATCAATTTGATGTCGTATTGACCAAATTTATGTCACATTTTGGTCAATACGGCATCGAATCGACGCCACCTTGACTTTTCATTTTTCCTTGGGGGAGATAGGGGGACAAGTATTACGTCCTAATTTCTTTTTCAGTTTGGCCCGGAAGCCGACCTGAGGGAGCGCCGGATGTGTTCGAAGACCCGATAAGCGGTTTTGCCCGTGTCCGCTGTCGCTGGATCAACCCTAGGAATACCTCCAGGAGCGCGTATGAGCGCGAATCGTGCTGCACGTGCCTGTTTCTCAGAGCCACCTCCGAATGCCGCAACGAAAAAAACCTCGTGACACGAGATAACGATGTCAACATCGATAAAGTGTTATTAAACTTGATCGTCCTTGGCGAACGAAGCCGTTATTCGTGTATACCGATTGAAATCCAATAGAGGGATATCTTTTTACTAAGGTTTTAAAATACAAGCTCTCTATTTCTCTCTTTCTCTCTCTCTCCTTTTCTTAAGCGCACGAGCGCTGAGAAATATCGCAAATACAGAAACGTAGGACAAACTCCGTGCGAAATGGCGTACGACGACGTTATCCTTCGCATGGGCGAGTTCGGCCGCTATCAGCGCAGGGTCTACCTTCTGCTCTGTCTTCCGGCGATATCGTGCGCCTTTCACAAGCTGGCCGGCGTGTTTCTCGGTGCCAAAATGAACTCGAGGTACGGTTGGAGTAGCGAATACGTGACGATAATTACACGGTGGACCGCGAGGAGGTAAAAAAAAAAACACTGAGAGAGACTCGTTTGCGTTCCCCTCCCCCCAGGTGTCTACTTCCACACGAGCACGCGGAGAACGTCACGTTCCACCTGAGCCAGGAAGCGCTGAACGCAAGCTACCCGTGGGACTACGAGTTCCAGGGGTGGTCCCAGTGCATGAGCCGTGACATCGTCGACCTCGCGAACGGCACGATCGTCGGGCAGGCGATTGGCAACGGCACTGAGGAGGCGGGCGTCAGCAAGTGCACGCAGTATGTGTACGACAGAAGCGTGTACAAGAGTACAACCACTTCCGAGGTACGGAATAACGATTGCTTAGCGGTATCGCCTTGGCGAGTCCCGAACGTTTCTTCACCGCGTTTCCTCGTCACTTGTCGCACGAACGAGAGTCGAGTAGGAAACGACCGGAGAAACGGGAAGCCAATCTCGGAAAGAATAAACGTTTCCCTTTTGCCCTTTGCAGTGGGACTTGGTCTGCGACAAGGCGTGGCTGAGAGCGACGGGGGACTCGTTGTTCATGGTAGGAGTCATGCTTGGCTCGATGATATTCGGCGGTTTGTCCGATAAGTATGGTCGTAGACCAATTTTCTTCCTGTCTTTAGTCATACAGCTGGTCGGCGGTGTACTAGTCGCTGTCGCGCCCGAGTTTATTTCCTACGTAATCTTCAGGCTAATTGTCGGCTCAACCACCAGTGGGGTGTTCTTAGTAGCGTATGTCATAGGTAACTGAATTTTCAATTATCACTCATAATATATTGCGGAAGCTTTTAAGGAAGCTCCAACTGAGTCGTTAGGCGGCGTATAAATGTAATCGTTCGTCTCTTTCAGCTCTGGAGATGGTCGGGCCGAAAAAGCGGTTGGTAGCCGGTGTCGGCTGCCAATTATTTTTCACTACTGGATACATACTCACCGCCGCCTTCGCGTATTTTATTACTGACTGGAGAATGCTGCAAGTAGCCATCACGGTGCCGAGCATCGCGTTTCTGCTTTACTGGTGGTACGGCATAGAGTAGACGTACTCCAAGTAGTGTACAAGCAGTCTCGAGGTCGGCATCGTAATTAACCAAGTCGCGATTCGTTCCCGGCAGGTTCATTCCCGAGTCGGCGCGATGGCTCCTGACGAAAGGCCGCCTTCAGGAAGCGAAGGATCTGCTGCAACGTGCCTCTCTGGAAAACGGCGTGGAGATGCCGAGCGAGGCTCTGGATACGCTTCTTAATAATAACAGCGAGGATAGCATGCCCGACGCGAGGAAGCCCTCGCTCTTCGACCTGTTCCGTTATCCGAATTTGAGACGGAAGAGCATTCTTTTATTTTTCAATTGGTACGACGACGATTTCGCGTCAGCTATTTCGTGCACTTCGCATTCTTACGCTCGATAGCCGTGCGCTAATTTTGATTTTCTCGTTCTCGCGCAGGCTCGTAAACAGCGGCACGTACTACGGGCTGTCCTGGCACGCGTCCAACCTTGGCGGTAACGACTACGTTAATTTTGTAATATCTGGAGTGGTAGAGGTGCCAGCGTACACTTTCCTAATTTTCACCCTGAACCGCTGGGGCAGGAAGATCATTCTTTGCGGTTGTATGATGCTGTCCGGACTGGCGCTGCTTGCCACGTTATTTGTCCCTACCGGTAGGTTTAAATTAACGATTTTACTCAATTATTCGTGGCATCGTAATTTTCTGCCTTGCGCGCGTGTCCGAGTAAAAACTACACGTGCAATTTGCGTAAGAACAATTGAACGTAAACGCGATATTTTAGTTAAACGGATTCATTTCTTTTCAGATATGCCGTGGTTAATCGTCTGTTTGGCAATGATAGGGAAACTTGCCATTACCTCCTCCTACGGTGCAATTTACGTGTTTACTGCCGAACAATTTCCGACCGTTATTCGAAACGTCGGACTAGGCGCGAGTTCCACTTTCGCTCGAATTGGCGGAGTTATCGCGCCATATGTCAATCATCTGGTATGTTATGTTCGTCATGTTCTCCTCTCGGTATTCGGGACACAGAGGCACCCAAAGCAAGCGTATCGATGTGTCATAGATTGCGTGAAATCGTCTAATTAGCATGTTATCTAATCGTTTCAGTCAGAAGTATGGATGCCGTTGCCACTCGTAATATTCGGATCGTGCGCCTTAGTCGCTGGACTGATGTCTCTTCTTCTGCCGGAGACATTGAACAAAAAACTTCCCGAATCGATTCAAGACGGCGAGCTTTTTGGAAAGTAAGTCCTCCCCGTTTTGACGTCAATTCTTTCAGCAGCTTGTCTCGAGTACGTAAATAATACATCCTTGGACAATGTTTTTTTTGCTTTTTAGGAAATTGTCGAAGAAGAAGAAGAAGCAACAGTTGATGCTCGAACAACTGAATGACGTAGAGATAATAAAACCGCTGAAGGCGCAGGAGAAGCAGAACGGCGTGCATGAAAAGCAAAACGGATGACATTAATTCACGAAGGAACATGTGTCGGTATTACACTCAAAATACATATTCGATTCCCGTCTGACCGTACTTTAGATGTCTGCCATGTGCAGTACACGCGCCTGCAGGGAACTTGGCGTAACGCGATGCTTTCGGTCTGAACTTGTAATATCTACAATCGATTAACACCTGCTCGTCCTTGGTCGAGCGTGTCCCAATCGAGTCGGTTCGAAACGCAAAACAATTATTTATACAGAACAATAATTATTTATACAGAACTAAAACGAAAAAAAAGAGCTAATCACCCGCCAAAAGAAACGTACGTATATTTCGCGTTTTAATATCTTGAACATAGCTGAGGATGGCATTGCATTTATTTAGGTATCATATGTTGCGATAGCCCGTAGACTGTAAGAATTCTGCCGACAAACATATCACTACTCAACAGCTAAACGTCCTCTGTAAAGAATGGCTACAGTATGAAACATTGTAACTTATAAATATAAAAAACTTTTGCTAGTACTCTTCCTCTCCGCTTATCTCCTTCGATCCGTCGACAGCTGACTAAATATCGCGCGTCGATAACGATTGTCTCCCCGTCAGAGAAGAGCATCTAATAAACGTCTTGAATTACGTGAATTTAAACTCGGAGTATTTAAAAGAGTCAACAGCACACTTTTTTTTTATATCGTACATGCGTCATTCCATTCATTGATCCGAGTGCACAAATATGATTTTTTTTCATTCATACATCTGAGTACACGAATATGATCTTTTTTTGCTCGACGTGAGATTGCGATAAGAATTTCAAAATTGTGAAAGAAAAATGAAACGATCTCTTTACGACATCTTTTATCTCGTGTGCTATGTATATTCATTGATACGTGAAAAAAAAGTTTCTCAATCGTTGTGTATCTTCCCCAAGTATTGGCAAGCTTAATCTATAGTTAGTCACTTCCAGATGTGGCATTTCTTCTCGGGATTCATTGCACTGCCGACCGGACAATTGTAAGCCTCGGCGAAGTCTTGTGAATTCGAAACGCTTCCTATTATTCTCAACCGTCCAGTACTGTGTACATCGAATTTCATTACGGTGCCATTTGCTTCCCCAGTTTCGCACCACAGCTGCAAGCGTGTATCGCACGTCATGTTACGGCACAAAATGTTTCCTTCAACCGTGCTCGTAATTAAATTATTACAGCTCTGTAATTCACAATCTGAGATAACACTTACGTTAGCAAAGGATAGGAAGAAAAGTTGATCGTTAGTGAGGTTTTCATGGCCTGGCAAAACAGTATCCGGATTCCCGCATTCTCTTTCTCTCCTTCGATACGCTTTAAACGCTACCTGTAATCCCATCGTGTCCGCGATATTCTCTCCTGCCGTCCGATTACCGTAGTTCTGCAATTTTTGACAACAAGCACATATGGTCAATCGTTTTTGAAAAACGAAGAAAAGGGTAATGCAAATGAAATTGCTAAATCAAATGCAGGATAGTTAACGCACCTTTATTTTGTAATTTGATGTCTTGTCGATGGGATAATTATTAAATTGTTCGACAAAACATTCTGCCCTTTTGCCATACGCTTCGGCCATTGCGGACAACCATTCCACGAAATTGCCATTTTTATCAAACAAGTGGCCTAAAAATTATTTTTTGTTCTTGTTATACTTTGTGCATGTTTCCAGGGTTTCTGATTGCGAGAAGACACATTTTGGAATAAAATGATAGATATTATTATATTGTCACGCCCGTGATTAGACGACGTCCGGTATTAAAAAAAGACTATTCATTTTCCGTCGGGCTTGCGTCGTCTTTGAACGTGTGACGAGCGGATTGTATTTCTCTTCAATAAATATCTCGTTGTTATCCAGTTATTCGGTCTCACTTATTTACGCGGGCGCGCGCGTGAAACTTGTGAAATCGCCGCGGCCGTCGCCGTTCCACGTGCGCGGGCGTGACAATATTATGGCAACAACTGTAACCCAATATAATAATGTACATTTGATGGCAGATATTATTTCATAATGTTACCCCTATTATCGAATCCGTGATTAACTTCGTGACCCATAATTGATCCAATAAGACCGTAATTAATGACTCTGAAATAGAAAGTGATTTAATAATTTTATTAAGGCTCCTGGTCTTTATCGATGTCCTTGTTTAACGATAGAAGCCAGGAATTACACACCGAGAATTCTTGCATTATATATTTTCAAATGAACAGATATTTAAATGAAGAAACACTTTGGACCGCTTTAGAACGCTTGTAAAATTGTCCGAAAAACTGTTCTTTCCCCTCGACAGTTAATAACCAGCTGTAAAATGAATGCGACACGAAGCCGATAGGATATTAATTATCGAAAGAACAGGAATGTTTCTGAACAATTATATGATAAAATATAACGCAAAAATTCTCAGCGTGTCATTTCTCGCTTCTGACGTCATTGCACAGGGACATTTGCAGCAGAAACCAGGAGACTAGAAAATAATGACATTTTTAGAAATGTAAGTTTGATCATCGCTACGCTTGTCACGTTGATAATGTCATCGAAATTCACTTACTGTGGTCGATCATAAGCGAACAACGGACTCTGGAAATCCGCCGCTGAGAGCTCTATAATTGAACAAGAGAATAACGACAATAACGACATGAATGGTTGTCAATTAGTATAGCTATTTTATTCCGCTGGAAAAGACATGATACAAACGTATGGAATTGGCGCTCGGATTGAAAAAAGCATTTACTATTATGGGGCTCATCGTCTTTCTGCAACATGGAATTTGTGATATGAGTTTATTTTGCAAATAAAACAATTAAGCTGCAATTGCATCAGAATAAATACGAATGCATTATCTTACGCGGCGTCATCCTCAGTTTTCTTCAATAACTTTCGTAAGCTTTTCCACTTGCTGTATCTGTTGTAGCTGAGCGTATTCTCGTAATACGAATGGCCGATAACGAGCTTTAACAGAACAGAATTAAATAAAACAGCCGCTCTGTGGCGGCAAAAAAGAAATTTTGAGAAACTTACTCCTTGAAAGTATCGTTTGACGATAGTATTATTTCTATACCAATCTGGATATCCGATGAATTTGTTCATATTCACTAATTTCGCTAAAATAAAATCCTTAGTGTCCTCATCCATCCAGTCTGATTCTTTAATTTGATACTCGACTTCCTTTTGTATATCGTCCATCATGTCCGATGCCTATAATTATACAAATAAGTGATCCAACTGAACGCAGATAGGAGAATGTTATAAACGGCGGACAAAATATAACTTAATAATCAACACAAAGTGCTTACGGTCGCTGTGATATAATCAGAGAAGTGATTTCTCACATACTCGTACGCTACAATGTCGCTCATCTCAGCTTCCTCTATGCACTTGAACGATCTGTGGCAACAATTCATGATCATTTTGATGTTGATATAATCTAAAAATAACTCAATTCTTATACTCGGGCTAAGACTATGTTAAGACTGAGAATGTGACGTAAAAATACGCTGTAATAAAAAAAGAATTATATTTCTAGTTGAAGAGCAAATGACTACCCCATACAGCACACAAATGTTGAATCAACATCTCAGAAACGTTCCATTACAACATTGCAATATTGTACCAATGTTACGAAATGTAGACTCAACGTTGAAGAGATATTGCAAAAACGTCTAATGTCCGCTGAATTGTAATGTCTTGTAAACGTTACAATTCAAAATACAGAAAATATTGTTAAATTATATGGAGTTAATATTGGCCGTGTTTAGTAGAATACTTTTTACAACTGTTGAAAGTGCTGAAGTTTAATTATTGCATTAAAATAATAATCCGATCTTAGCTCAGAAAATTTCTGACCGTTGCAAGAATATTATATATATGTTATATACACATACATTTCATAATTATACATTTTTAAGTGTCTATTTGAGTGTCAAAAAATTGTGATTTGTTCAAGATTGTTTTAACGTTGCAGCAAGATAACGAATCAATGTACAAACATTAACCTAGATTCAACGTAGAAAAGATATTTATACTTCAACATTCAGCATTGCAACGTTTCAGCAACATTATTGTAACTTTCTGTGCCATATGGGTACGTTGATAATTAAGAAACTATTTTCAAAGATATAAGAGCTTTCGTCGCACCTCGCTAAAACTCGAGGAACCTTTTTATCTTCCTGCTCCTTTTTTCCTTGCCACTCATTGTATAATTTTTTCATATCATCTGTCGTACTTTTTATTATTCTACTTAAGAAGTTCCAATGTACATAGTTCACTGAAACATAAGCGTGTCTATCGAAGATATTTCTTTGTTACCGCTGTACTTGTTGCAAAATTTACCGATCGTTCGACTCGACGTCTTATCTAGCAAAGCGATAAGATCCTTGAAGTAACCTGGTGAACCAATTTCCAGATCTAAATCGCCATCTACAGGTACGTGTGCCTCGTCAAATAATTCCCCAATTTTGTACAACCAGTTAATCTGCGTTGCGTTAATCATTAATTCAGTTACTATTAACGAATTAAATGGTTAATTAATAATTGATTAAATTAATAAATTAGAGAACGACTTACTGCGCTATTGGGAGTATCAGGTTTCTTTTTATCATACCATTGTTGGAAATCATTAAGCGTCATCTCCTCGTCATCACTGAAATCCGTAGTAATCTGAAACATTGTTATTCGAGTATATTCTTCTTCTCGCTGCCTCTTTCAAGGTAACGCAACACTCACGTCAACTAATTTTATGTGAAATTTAATCATGTCTTGAATATCTTTATCCATACGTTTTTCCGAAACTTCTAAGCCTCCTGTTTTAGCTATGGCGCGAGCTACTTTCGAGATGTACTCAGCATATCGCTTCAGTTGGTCATCTTCATCTATCGTTTCTTCTGTGCTGATCTGCGGTGTTGTAGATTCTAAAGTTCTCTTTAATCTCTCCATGCGTTTTCGCTTCACGCTTTTCGTCTTCAGCATTCGCAATTTTTCACGAGCAACTGTACCCCATTTCTTCATTCTCTCTTTCTGCGTCTTATGGCTCTCGTATTTCTTTATATGCGTACTACTCTTTCTACTATGTCCCCATTTTTTCTTCTTCACCAACTTGCCAGTCTTTTTCATACCGCCTTTCTTCTTCTTATGGTTGTTTTCTTCATTTGTATGGTTACCGTCATATTCATCATCATCTTCAGCGTCATCGTCGTTGCTATTATTATCACTTTCGTCTTCACTTCCAGGTTCTTGACTATCTTTTTGCTCGCTTTGCTTCTCTTCGTCGCTGAGGTCCTCATCGCTTTCGTCTTCTTCCTCTTCCATGTCACTCGCACTCCAAAGTACGGATGAACCCGGAGGTAGATGAGGAATGTCAATCTAGCAACGACAACTTAAATTAAAGAGAGTTACTAGTGGAAGGTTGAAACGAATATAAATTTTGTACGTTTATGTGTAACGCAAAGAAATAGCGCACAAAATGGACCCTTTAAAATGCACAACGTGAATACTGTGAAAATATAGAGACGCCAATTACATCTTGCCTGTACACTTTTGGATTCAGATTTGAGCGTAATGTCAATGCAAGCAAATAGTTTTACTTAAAACTTGTGTCGTGATAAATACATGCACTACTTTCCGAGTCTCGTTCAAACCATATTTGAATACGCGCACGTCGTGAAAAGCATTCCTGCCTATCAAGCGCACATATTGATCATCCACTTTTTGCCAGCTATATTCTTGCTCATTCCACTCGTCCAGTTCCATTATCAACGGCCAGCCGCCTATCCGAGATAAAGTAAAAACAACCGGTTCGAGTCCTTGCCTCTCGATTCCATCTAGAAGCATTTCGTGAATCGACAAATCATATCGTGAAACGCGATTGTGTGTAAAAATAATAAATATTATAACCTTTGCACAGCATTTTCCAATTACCCGAGAATCATATGTACTTACCTGTATCCATGCATACCTTGTACCACTTTTTCGCGAGCTTCACCGCCAAAAGATCACTGGCTTGAGGACCCTCGTCAAAAATTTCTGCGAAATATCACTGGTTATCCGGGGATTACTTGATAATTATTTGATTATATTTTGAATTTTCTTTCACTCCAACCACAATTACGTGGCACACTTGTCTGACTTACCCTAACGTTATACACAAGTTTCAGATTAAAGTTTGAGTTGGATTGGCGTTTACCTTTTATTTGCTTCTTGACATTTATTTGCGATCTTTCAAACATACTCCAGGAATCCATGCCCTTCGGTGGGGGATTATGCTCCGACCATCTTCCACAGGCATACTCGTAAAAGTCGTCACACGGATCCACAGTTTTGTCCATGCTCTCCGATATTATCTGAGCTGGCGGAATAAAAACAGATGAGTAAAATCGTAACACTGGCTGTTAATTGAATTATAATTGCAACTACTGTCATTTAATAAATACCTATTTTTTTGCACTCCTGAGATTGGCACACGGTCGGCTTATTTTCTTCCTTCTTTTCATCTTGTTTACGATTTAAGCCAAACAACCATTCCAGACGTGAAGGATGAATCTTTTTCGACGGTGCAGCATTTTTCATTAGAAAAACGCCGATGAAGGCGCTGCACAGTACAGTTCAATATGAAATGAGTATAATTTACTACACAAGAAATGATAAATAACGAAAAGATCATTCTTAATTATCGATGAAAATGGATCGTTTAGGCTTTACCATTTCTGAATTATAGTCGATTAAGGCAAGTTTGTTTGTCAAAAAGCAAAGTTAGGGGTCGTCCAACCGCTTATGACTACATTTTAAAATAATTCTCATGAGTTACTTACAGTAGGATGAACCGTCTCATTCTCGCAAACAATCTGCGGCTGATATAAGCTTTAGTTGCGCTATGCGGTTAATGTATACTTGTGCTCTTCGCCACAATGTAAAATTATTTTTCGCACAGCTCTTTTATACATCACTATTTGCGGAAGGATCCCACAATGTTACCATATCGCATTGATAGAGCCGAAGGTCAGAGATTTGTCTTCCGTTCTCCCGATTTATTTTAATCAAATCGCATCTGCGATAATGAATGTCATTCTAATTCAGATTTAAGGAACACGATGTTACGCGTGTGTGAAGCTGGCATCTCATTTCGTGGAAAATCACTAATTTTTTAGAGTTCTGACTTCCTTTCTAATCGTTCTAGAGTTCCTGATACATTAAACACATAGTTCCGGTTTTTAAGACCATTGAAAAGTGCAAGTGAAAAAAATTGAAAAGTGCAAACTGATTTGCTAACTCACGCTGCAAATCACTTTGTCCCCGGATGATTTCCCAATTATTTCTGCTAGGATTTTTATCGCATGAGAGTTCTGCAATAGTTCTAGAAAGAGTTCTGGCGAAAAAACATTGTTTTTGTAATTTAAAAAATTTTTGGTGATTTTGCTGTCCGAAATAACAGAGTTCTGACTTTCTACAAATAGTTCTCGCATAGTTCCGAACATATATAAGCGTTTTCTATCAGAGTTCTATGCAGTAGAACCGATAAATAATTTTTAAAAAATTAATACTGGCCGAAAAATGTCTAAGGCAGATAGGGAAGATTTGCTGTCCGAAATGACGGAGTTCTGGCTTTATTCAAATAGTTCGCGCGTAGTTCCGAATTTATTTCAGTATTTTTTACACACTTCTATACAGTGGAATCGATAAATAATTTCTTTAAAAATTAATACTGCCCGACAACTGTCTTTAAGGCAGATAGAGATTATTTGCTGTCCGAAATGACGGAGTTCTGGCTTTGCATAAATTGTTCTCGCGTAGTTCCGAACATATTTCGGTATTTTTTACATAGTTCTATGCAATGCAGTACCGGCCTTAGGGCGGGGCGCGGTTGGGCGGTCGCCCAGGGCGTCAAATCTGTAGGGGCGCCGCTGCCTGGTTTCACCTAGTTTGAGAGAGATTCCCTAAAATATAAAAACAAAATGGGGTTCGTCGTTCGATATTATTACCCTGTCTTTTCTTTCACAAGAATTTCGAGCCCTTGAATTTGAATGGGCGCCACGATAATCTTGCTCAGGGCGCCAATGTTGTTAAAACCGGCACTGATGCAGTGGAATCTATAAACAATTATTTATCGGTTCT